ATAAAAATAGATATTTGTTGTGTGCAAGAAAACCTCCAACAACGTCTTATTCTCACAAGGTCAGCTCTGATGCCACCCAATGGGGGGTTTTCTTTTGCTTCTTTAAAACATACAAATGACACAAATTATTTATTGTGTGAGAAAAAAAACAACATATCAGTTTACCAGTTTAGCTTAGCTATACACAGGGCCGGATTTACTCTCTCTGCTGCCCCAAGGCCAGGTTCCACAATGCGTCCCCCTGTATGCAGGCTGCATACAAGTAATCTCCGCAACATTGTTGAGATCACTTGTACAAAACAAGCGGCGGCTTCCCCGCTGTACATTTGGACCTGCTTGCCCAAAGGTTGCTTGCTTTCTACTAGACATGTTCACCAGCGAAAAATTAGTTTCGTTTTGATTCGGATTTTGTTTTATTTCATTTTTCGGAATTCGGGTCCGAAAGTCAATTCGTTTCAGAATTTCGATTCGGACGAAATTAGTTAGCGGTAATCCGTACGAGATTTCGTTTTGAATTCGGAACGAAACGAATCGCACATGTCTACTTTCTACACAAAGCAGGGCTAAATGTAGAAAACAGCTACCCGCCCAGCGCCCAGGACTGCATGTCCCAGGCTTCGGGAGATAGGAATTCCACACCTCTGTTCCGCTGTAATCCAGAGTGTAGCTTGGTGTTTACCACTTATGGTACTGAAAATTAACCCCGGGCCACACGCGGGAATACCGCCAAGGAGGTTAAAGGACACTCAGGATTTCAAAAGAAAGCAGCAACTAAGTGACTGCTTGATGAATGAGGTACTTTACTGGCTTTTCCTAAAGAAGAACAAAACCAGGAAAAACTTTTATTATACCTTGAAGTGGGGAAACCCCCCTGTGACGGACTCAATCATCACTGGGGCTGTTGGAGGTTCCTGGGGGCTAGCCACCATCCTACCGACTATGGACCTAGGACTGTGGAGACCACCCTCGGACCTCTTAGGGTTACAGGGAACTATTATCCCAGATTTATGTGTGGAGTGGATATGCTGCACCCTGTTCCCATTATAGGTACAGGATGTTAATCCATCAGCACTGAAGGGGGTTAATTCTGAACTTAGACTTCCAATTGAACTGGTTACAGCCTTTTTGTCCATTTGTTTCAGTGTGTTAATGATGGGATTAACATAGCTGACTCAAGGTGTAGCTGACTCTAGGGGTAGCTGACTCTAGGGGTAGCTGACTCCAGGTGTAGCTGACTGTAGGTGTAGCTGAGTCTAGGTGTAGCTGACTCTAGGTGTAGCTGACTCTAGGTGTAGATGACTCTAGGTGTAGATGACTCTAGGTGTAGATGACTCTAGGTGTAGCGGATTCTAGGTGTAGCTGACTCCAGGTGTAGCTGACTCCAGGTGTAGCTGACTCAAGGTGTAGCTGAGTCCAGGTGTAGCTGACACTAGGTGTAGCTGACTCTAGGTGTAGATGACTCTAGGTATAGATGACTCTAGGTGTAGATGACTCCAGGTGTAGAAGACTCTAGGTGTAGATGACTCCACGTTTAGCTGACTATAGGTGTAGCTGAGTCCAGGTGTAGCTGACTCTAGGTGTAGATGACTCTAGGTATAGATGACTCTAGGTGTAGATGACTCCAGGTGTAGCTGACTCCAGGTGTAGCTGACTCTAGGTGTAGCTGACTCTAGGTGTAGCTGACTCTAGGTGTAGCTGACTCTAGGTGTAGCTGACTTCAGGTGTAGATGACTCTAGGTATAGATGACTCTAGGTGTAGCTGACTCCAGGTGTAGCTGACTCTAGGTGTAGCTGACTCTAGGTGTAGCTGACTCTAGGTGTAGCTGACTTCAGGTGTAGATTACTCTAGGTATAGATGACTCTAGGTATAGATGACTCTAGGTGTAGATGACTCCAGGTGTAGCTGACTCTAGGTGTAGATGACTCTAGGTGTAGTTGAGTCCAGGTGTAGCTGAGTCCAGGTGTAGCTGACTCTAAGTGTAGATGACTCTAGGTATAGATGACTCTAGGTGTAGATGACTCCAGGTGTAGCTGACTCTAGGTGTAGATGACTCTAGGTGTAGTTGAGTCCAGGTGTAGCTGAGTCCAGGTGTAGCTGACTCTAAGTGTAGATGACTCTAGGTATAGATGACTCTAGGTGTAGATGACTCCAGGTGTAGCTGACTCCAGGTGTAGCTGACTCCAGGTGTAGCTGACTCCAGGTGTAGTTGACTCCAGGTGTAGCTGACTCCAGGTGTAGATGACTCTAGGTGTTGCTGACTCTGGGTGTTGATGAGTAGATTAACATACTACAAACACTCAGGAGATAATCCCATCCTATTTGTTTTGATTGTTTGATTGATGTTTTGATTGCGTTATGTTTTTAGGCCACCAGAGCTGTATAAATACTGAGCTGGTTTTTAATAAAGTCAGTTCCTGTTTTTACTTCAACATTGGTGTTGTCTGATGTTTGGGGTAAATCTTTATTATTTCGGGAGTTTAGTTTTCTGTCCTGATATATTGGTTCCGTCCAATAATTGGGCAGGTTTGGGCTGAGGACGCTGGATTTCGGGTTGCAGAAGAGAGGAAGCTACGCAGTGACGGAGGCAGCCAGTCGGGGTGCCGTGAGGTATGTCACACCCCCCACCTTGCCTGCACTGCAAGGGTTAATTGCTTGGTTTTTTTTTCTAGGTGCAAAAAAAAAAGTTATACTCACCTGATTTTTTTTAGACCGGTCCTTCCAGCCTCTGCAGTGGTTTAAGTTCCTGTAAATCATCACATTCTACAAACAGTGTATAGGCATGAGGATGTAGAAGGAGACAGACTTCAGAGACCATAGAGAGAAGCAGGGAGCCGGCTCAGCGGTTCGAGTGAGTATACTTTTTTTTAAGTTGTTGGGCCATGCAGGCCACACACCATCCAGCCACCCCAGCCCCAGATTGCTCTATGTGGGAAGGAAGGAGTCTTGTACTGGGATTATACTGATATCAGGATTTCAAGATGGATTTCAAAACAAACAATGCAATTATTCAGGGCACTACGTAGGCACAATTAATTGTTGTAGATGTTCCTTGTATCATAGCAAGTCTTCACTTTTTGAGTTCAGGTTTATTTTGAAAAAGCTGCACGTACAGCAAATGAACTGGTTGATATGCCAGAAATCCAGTCAACTCCTAACTTCCTCCAGTGACCTGACAACTGAAATCTCCAACATTGTTATCAGCCCTGCCCAGTTGCCCTCTGTGATTTAAAGAATGCCTTTCCTTATGTTAAGGAGACAAGGAAAGTCCTCACACACTAGGGGGACATGGCAGCTGCAGTACAGTGAATGAGCGTTGCCACCCTAGGAAAGAAAATGTGTTAGTGGCCGGAACACCAGGTGAAGATAAAGGAAAGGAAACCTCACATATCCACGACATACACTTTCAAAGGGTAATTCCAATTTCCCAGGTGAATTTAGGAAAATGTAATTACCACCTCCAACCTTGCCCCCTCTCCCTCCTACTATGCCTACCTTTGGGTAAATGCTGCTGCCCTTCTGCTGGTGCCAGTGTACTATCTGTACCTCGTACTGCCATGTAGTGCAGCCCTGTCCAAAAAAGTAAGTATACCGGGGGGAGAGGAGGCCAGATTGGAGGGGGTAATTCCATTGCCTCCATTGTAATTCCAATTCACCTTGGGAAGTGGAATTAGCCTTTAACAAACAACTGTTTTACATTGCAGCACCCACAAAGCTTAATACTTAAACATTTTTCCTTATTTATCTCCTTGATATAAAAATCAACATATTCCACAATATAAGAATGCCTCTCCTTATGTTAAGGAGATAAAGAAAGTCCTAACACACAAGGGTAACATTACAGCTACAGTACAGTGAGTTAGCGTTGTCGCTAGCGTTGGAACTACTCCCTCTAATCTGACAACCTACCCCCC